TTGTTAAAAAAAAAAAAAAAAAAAAGCAAACTACATAAACAATTGTTCCAATTAGCTGGTATCATTCCTTCCCTAAATATGAATTCAAAGGAATTTAGGGAATGTCATCACCTTCTATTTCAGGTTCTAAAGAACGTGGGAGTTGACTTTCAACAAGCTTTTTGAGTATCTCATCATTTGTAAGATCAAGTGAGGCAAGAGTCCTATCCAGCCTCTCCCTATACTGAACAATCTTTCTTTTCTTCACCATCTTTGCATCTATTGAGAATGTTGAACAAGCCTTCTCTCAAAAAGTCAAGTCAGGAACAAAGGAATCAACCACTTGAAGGATTCCTCCTCTTCTCCTATATCTACCACAACAGATAATCACTGTGATTAAACAAGACTAGTCAATCAGGTTATAATAACTCTCATCTCATCATGCAAGATTAACAAAATTCAACAAATTGCATGTGTTTAATTGGCCATAACTCGCATAAGCTTTCTCTCTGTTAGCCAAAATAATGAAACTTATCGGTTAATTCACTTCCATATGTTGTGGATTGATGTATCATTTAAATATCAAAAAACCAAAAGCCAAGAAAACCAATACACATCCATTGGAACCACAAACACGGAAACTTCGAATTTTTGAACCACACGGAAACAGATTCCAAGAGGGGCGGAATAGCTAGATACACGAATTTACACCCCCCAAGACACACGCAAGCAATTAAATGAAACTACATGATAATAAGAAATTGAAGTGAATAAAATCCAAAAGCCAAAAACCAAATTCTAGGCCAGAAGTCAACAAAAAAACCATTCTCGTGACAAGCAAAATTTGAAGAAACTGAACAAAACCCAATTCAGAGGTGGAGATATCAAAGCACCCCACATGAAGCAGGAGTAAAAAGATGAAAACTTTATTGAGAATATAAACATAAACATACATGATTCATGAACCTTGGGCTTGAAGAGTGGTGCTTTTGACAATGTGAGAAGAACCCAGAAGCAGAAAAAGGCAGATCTCAATCCCAAGACAAAGTCAGGTGATGTGAGAGCTACACAACATGGACTTTGCTTTGTTTCTCGTAGGAGACAAAGTAGCAGCACACCTACAACTCACCCCAAAAATTATACTTTATGTAAAATATAAGATTTCATGAGAAATTAAACTTCATTCAGTCAAACTTAATTTAATTATACAAACATGTTTATTCATCCGTAACAAATAAATACTTTAATAGTTTAATCATTGATACATTTTACAAAAGAAATTGAAATTTAATTTCTAACTAAAAATTGATACAAATATCAAATAAAAAATTAAGAAAAATTGATACTTTTTTAATCTTTTATCTTTTTTTATTTATCTTTTAATTGCTATTTTAAATTCAATTTCAAAAAAATAAAAGAAGTTACCAATAAAAAAAATTCACCACAATATATCACATTAAAAACTGTTTACCATAAATCTAATATATATATATATACATATATATATATATATAGATTATACTAAAATATCTATTATAAAATTAATGTTAACATAATTTATATATTTAAAATATTTATTTATTGTCAATTTTAATTATATAAAATAAGCATTTATTTTGCATATTGTATTTGTCAAAAACTTAAAATACTAGTTTAAATACACTTCTAAAAAATACTACAATCGAAATCAAGTTGAACTACTCAAGAAATTAGTGTAATTTTCTTTTAATATATATAAAGAGCGTATCAAGTAAAAGAAAATTTATTATGAGAAATAAAAGAATTAAAATATAACTTTAAATTAATTTTACAAATCCCTAAATTTCAGCATATCAAGTAAAAAAAAAATTAATTTAAAAATTACATTTTAACCCTCATAATAAATTTCCTTAACCCGCATAATAAATTTTCTGTCAATTGTTGCATATATATATA